TATAGGCCACCTACAAGCTCCTTCCATTTATCTCTATCCTGGGCCGTCCTTCCGAACTCGTTCCAAGTGAGCTTCATCTTTCTCATGTCCCATTCCACATATCTCCTCCATGTCTCTCGTGGCCTACCCCTGCCTTGTGCTCCCTGTGGGTCCCGTTGCAGTGACTGTCTTGTGATGTTTCTGCTGGGCTTTCTGAAGGTGTGTCCCATCCATCGCCACTTTCGTAGTCCTATTTCTACTTCTATTCGTTTTGTCCTGTCCTTTCCCATAGCTCTACCTTTCTTATTCTATCCTACCACTTAATTCTTAGGATACTCCTCATACATTTATTGATGAAAGTCTGGACTTTATTCAGCACTGTCTTCGTTGTGAGTGGCGGTTAGCAGAAAACGTTGCTGTCTTCATCATCGTTTTTTAAATTGTATGTTTTGGGTTTTCTTTTAATTGTTTTTTTGTTTTTTTAGTTTTTAAAAAGTTAAGTAAGATAATCAGTGTTTGACTTCCACCAAAATTTCCATTTGTTGATGAGTGACTCTTTCTGCTGAATATAGCTGTCTCAGAGTTTTTGGCATGGCTGAAAAAGCAAAATTAGAAACAGTTGTTGTTGTTTTCACTGACAAAAACACAAACAAAAACAGTCGAATCATGGTCGTCAGAACATGAAAGCTCTGTACCGACGTTCAAGTAAGTAAGTCAGTAAGTCAGTAAGTAAGTTTATTCAGTGTTTAAGGCCATTGGCCCACATCACATCACATAAATCACTCTTTCGATTAGTAAAGTTTTCATAATGAATAAGTACAGGTTGTGCACATATCTCTTATCATGAGTCAAACATTGCATATTTCTGTCACTGGGCCGAGTCAGGCTGGGAAGGATTAACAATTTCCTTTGATGGACAAAGTGTGAACAATAGAAAATAAAGTGAAATTCATCGTCAATTTCTTGAGAGTTACACCTCTCACATAAGGGCGAATTAAATTAGTACCGACGTTCCTGTAATTTAGTGAAGTGACTGCTCCTATGTTCTTTCCGAGACAATAGGACAAGTTTCTGACTTTATTTCTAACAGAGTTTGTTCGTTTATTTGTTTGCTTGAATAACTATTGGGTAGTTAGCATGTGCTCTGGTGTGGTATGCTCCTTCTTTCCTATCAAACATCTATCGTCCTTATCTCTCCTCCTCCTTTTTTGTGTATGTTATTTTCTTGTAACACCCTCGTAAACCTCTTACTAAAACTAAACTAACACCTCTAATCTTCGACACTTGTATGACCTTATTGTGTTGCAAGTGAACTCTTAGTAAAACTAAAACCTGTGTTCCTTCCCCCTCGCAGCCCTGGAGATGCTGGACCCGAAAGCGGCGCGCACTCCCCGGTCGCCCGTGTCGCCAGAGAAGTCACCGTGGCCCGTGAGACGACAGCTGCCCCCCAGCCCACTGGTCCGCTCCTCGGTGCAGACGTACGCACGCACGCAGGAGGAGCAGAACAACACCTGCCTGTCACAAGCTTCCAACGGGGTCACCCATAGGTACTTTGACTACGTGTACGTAGGTGTTGTACTTCTGTATTCAGTTGCTACAGTTTTTGCCGTTATTTTCAGTTTTTTGTTCATTTCTTTCTTAACGTTTTTTTCCTTCTTTTTTCTGTTTCTATTTTTTTTATTTTTTCTTGTTTTTCAGGTTCTGTGTTTTTTCTTTCCTTTTTTTTGGTTTTCTTTCTCCCTTTCTCCCATTGCTCTTCCATTTCTTTCTCTCTTTTGATTACCTGTTTTGAGTCGCTCTTT